CCCCCCCATCCCTAATCTAAATTAGTCCCACCCCTTCCTGACATTTCGCATAATCTGTCAGTCGCGGGATACAGTGCGCACGGTGTATCTGGATTCTGACAGGTTGCGCTATCAACGTAGCGGGATGCTCTAGTTCTACCTTTGCAATAGCCACCTTCTCCATTCCTGGCCTGATGGGCTCCCTAGTTCTGCAGCTACAATAACCATTCTCTCCCGCCCTGCCATGCTGTGCTAGTCTCTAGTTCTGCAGCTGCAACACCGATCTTCTGCCTTAATATGCTGGGCCCTCTAATTCTGCAGTTACCCATCTTCTGCCTTGGCCGCTGCGCTCTGTAGCTCTCCCCGCTGTAGAGATATAACCCGGCACGGAGCTTATAGGCTGCATTTCCCCGGACTCACCACCACAGAGGTGCCGATGAACACCATGACCTCAGCCCTGGGGACCTGTGGAAGCTCCTCCGCTGCCTGAAGTCAGAGATTTGGGTGCCGGTTTCCCATGGAGGTCCGGCGCAGGAACTGCCAGTGCATCTGGACGAAAGTCACATACACCAATACATTGCACAGCACGGTGACCAGGAAGAGGAAGGAGCTGCAGCCGGCATATATGTAGGAGTAGGCGGCATAGGTGAACACGTTGGTCCCCCAGTCAAAGAAGCACCAGGTCCAGGAGTACTGGCAGTAATTTATGAATAATTTATCATATAATTTATTTATTTTTCTCTTATCTAACTGGTTTGGGGGCAGCATTTTTTGGCGCCCCCCTGGAAAGTGCCGCCCTAGGCAAATGCCTAGTTTGCCTTGCAGTAGATACACCCCTGGTGGCGGCACAGTCCTGTAGTATCATGCAGCCTCAGCGCTATACGTTGTACAGAGGCGACTCACGTTGTGCGGTCGGTGCAATGGTCCCGGTGGGTCTGAAGGAGGCGTCAACGCTGGCACAGATCCCGGTGCTGTACATGGAGGAGCCGCACTCCTGGGACCAGAGCGGGGCGCAGGCCTGGCAGACAAGAACACACAATCAGTAACAGCAATACAAGTATAATGATGCACCACCTCCTCTGGAAGGCCTGCTCAGGGAACCACCTCCTCTGGAAGGTCTGCTCAGGGAACCACCTCCCTCTGGAAAGCCTGCTCAGGGAACCACCTCCCTCTGGAAGGCCTGCTCAGGGAACCACTACAACTGACACTTGATTAATCAAAGGCCATGATATGGTGCCCTGGGCCCAGCCTAATCACTAATGGGGGTTCTGCTTTGTAGCGCCACACATGGGTAGTGCCATTCTGCTCCTTCTCACAATGAACATTTAAAAAC